GGGGTTGAGAAGGGCAGGTTAGAAATCTGCTGTGGACTCATCTTGTTGTGTTTATAATAATAATAATAATAATAATAATAATAATAATAATAATAATAATAATAAGTGGTTGCTACACAAGGAAGAGCTGGATAAGCATGTGCCTTCTCTGTTCCCACCACTATTGGACTGGATGGCCCACGAGATCTCTTCTAACTCTAGGATTCTAAGAGTTTGGATCACAAGCATTCACCAGGCCAAAGTTAAGAGGATTTCTAGCCCCCTGCGCTGCTTCCACGTCAAAAAGGAAACATGGCACCCTAGCCCTGGGCTCTATGCCTACCCTGGACTGGACAGTACAATCAGCTATTTGCCCTACAAATAGCTGATTGATTAGGCTCCATTAGCCATACTAAGTTCCTTCCAAAACAGGAAGTAAACAGGAAGTAGTTCCTTGTCACTTCCTGCTCGGGAAAAAATCCCAGGGAGAAAAACACAAAATCACAGATCCCCCTAGAGGCCATTTAGGGGTGAAACCATTATGGTGATTTTTTGCAAAGATGTGGGGAAAGGGTTTCCTGGGAGCCTCCCCCGGTTTCCTATCCCACCTTATGAAGTTGTGATTGAAACAAAGGTGCATACCTACTTCCCTGCAACGAAAGGAAGGTGCCTCTACAGCGCAAGGGGAAAACTCAATGTGAGTGAAGGTCTCAAGCAATGCATTCCACTGGCAAAAGGAGCAGGGCCCAAATACCTGCCATATTTTTGCACACAAAAGCTCTAACTGCAAAGTCATTGAACTTCTCAGAAGCATTGCATCCTAATTTTAGAGAAGGGGGGAGAAACCAAGATGAAAAGAAGGGTGGTTCACAAGGAAGGGGCCTGGCCAAAAGGGGAAACCCAAATGGGCTGAGTTCATTTTCAGAGCCGGCAGGACTGCTGACCAATAGGTCAGAGGTTCGAATCTGAGGAGAGTGGGTTGAGCTCCCTCTGTCAGCTCCAGCTCCCCATGCGGGGACATGAGAGAAGACTCCCACAAGGATGGTAAAACATCAAAACATCTGGGCACCCCTGGCAACGTCCTTGCAGATTGTCAATTCTCTCACACCAGAAGCGACTTGCAGTTTCTCAAGTAGCTCCTGACACGAAAAAAAAATCATCAGACATAATAACTAGAGCTGATGGGAGTTGGGATACAGGAACATAGGGAAGACCACCATTTTTGTTGTTAAAGTCCCCTGGGCAATGTCCTTGCAGACGGTCAATTCTCTCACACCAGAATCATAGAATCATAGAGTTGGAAGAGACCTCATGGGCCATCCAGTCCAACCCCATTCTACCAAGAAGGAGGAATATTGCATTCAAATCACCCCTGACAGATGGCCATCCAGCCTCTGTTTAAAATCCTCCAAAGAAGGAGCCTCCACCACACTCCGGGGCAGAGAGTTCCACTGCTGAACAGCTCTCACAGTCAGGAAGTTCTTCCTCATGTTCAGATGGAATCTCCTCTCTTGTAGTTTGAAGCCATTGTTCGGTGTCCTAGTCTCTAGGGAAGCAGAAAATAAGCTTGCTCCCTCTCTCACATATTTATACGAAGCGACTTGCAGTTTCTCAAGTCACTCCTGAGACAGAAAAAAAAAAGAGTCTGAGGTTCTCCACTTTTCCTTAGGTCCTTTCTACATTGCCATAAAATCCAGATTATCAAAGCAAATAGTCCACATTATCTGTTTTGAACTGAGTCTACACTGCCATGCAATCCAGATCAAAGCAGATAATTTCGTTGGTGATGTTCAGAATGCTCTTTGATTGTAGTTTAATTATAAATCCCAGCAACTACAACTCCCAAATGACAAAATCATTTTTTTAGTGATGGTCACTCCTTGGGTTTAGTGGGTGTCTTGTGGCCAAATCTGATGGCAATTCATCCAGTGGATTTTGAGTTATGATGTCACTCAAAACGAACAGAGCATTTTTGTATATATAGATGATATCCCCATTGATTTCATAGGTTTCTCCTAGGTAAGGAGTACTCAGAGGTGAACTTGGGTTCTGCCAGAATTAGTAGAGGTTACTAATTGTATTGGCAGGCCTCATGATACTTTTATCTCATGTATACCTGGGGCTACAACTAGTAGTCCTGGGAGGGATGTCAGTTGGGAAACTGATCACGAAAGAGGCCCTGATCCAGAAGGAAGACCCTGACAAAGAGCCACTAAGGAGAAGCCAAAAGTCTGGGGCCTTTCAAAGTGCCTGATCTGTCATGTAACATTCTGGGGATGTTCAAGGAGGAGCCTGGATTCATTACCAAGTCCTCCACATTGCCTCACCACACGTCAACGTTTGACACAGAGTTCAAGGGAAGTCTGGGCACCACATCAAGCTTCAGAGATGCCAAAGGAACAGCCCTGGTTTCCCCAGAAGAAAGTGCTGGGGAACAACACAACGACCAACAACAATGTAGGCAGAGCCTGTGGTTTGTTCCTCTGCAAGCTGAACCAAGGAAAAAAACAGGTTGCTGTGAGTTTTCGGGGCTGTCTGGCCATGTTGCAGAAGCATTCTCCCCGATGTTTCTTCCACATCTATGGCAGGCATCCTCAGAAGTTGAGGGGTCCGTCGGAAACTTGGGAAGCGAGATTTATATATCTGTGGAAGAGTTCTTTCTCCCTCCTTGGCCACCTTGATTAGCATTGAATGGTTTTGCAGTTTCAAAGCCTGTCTGCTTCCTGCCTGGGGAATCCTTTGTTGGGAAAGGACTCTTATTTATTTATTTACTCCATTTATATACCACTTTTCTCAGTCCTTGGGCGACTCAAAGCGGTTAACAATAGCAAAATTCAATGCTCAACATCATAAAAACAGTTTAAAAACAATTAAAACAATGACATAATAAACAATCAATTAAACATAACTATAACATCTCATTAGCGTCTCATAGGTAGAATTAAGATCCAATCTCATAATCTGTTGTTCCATATTCCTATATTCAATGCACTTTCTATTCAAATGCCTGCTCGAATAACTAGGTCTTCACTTTCCTCCAAAATGCTGATAGGGAGGGGACCAATCTAATTTCTGTAGGAAGGTCGTTCCACAGCCGAGGGGCCACCACTGAGAAGGCCCTGTCTCTTGTCCCCACCAGACGTACTTGTGATGCAGACGGGACCGAGAGCAGGGCCTCTCCAGATGATTTTAATGTCCTAGCTGGCTCTTGTCTGTCCAGGGTGGGAGAAAGAACTCTTGTCTGTTGGAGGCAAGTGTGAATGTTGCAATTAATCACCTTGATTAGCATTGCAAAGCTTTGCAGCTTACTGCCTGGGGAATCCTTTGTTAGGAGTTATTAGCTGGCCCTAATTGTTTCCTATCTGGAATTCCCCTGTTGCAATTTGATTAGCATTTAATGGGCCAGCTTTTTTTTTGTTTTGTTTTTGTCGTTTCAGGAGCGAGTTGAGAAACTGCAAGTTGCTTCTGGTGTGAGAGAATTGGCCGTCTGCAAGGACATTGCCCAGGGGACGCCCAGATATTTTGATGTGTTACCATCCTTGTGGGAGGCTTCTCTCAAGTCCCCACATGAGGAGCTGATTCAAGGAGCTCATCTGTGCTCTAACCAGATTTGAACCCGCCGGGTTTAACCCACTGTGCCATCGGGGGCTCCTTAATGGGCCAGCTAACACCTCCCAACAGAGGATTCCCTCAAGCAGTAGCCAGCCAGGCTTTGAAGCTGCAAGGCCATTCAATGCTAATCAAAGTGATCAATTGCAGCATTCACACTTACCTCAATCAGACAAGAGTTCTTTCTCCCATTCTGGACATTTTTCCAAATCTCACTTGCCTAGTTTCCAACAGACCCTTCAACCTCTGAGGATGCCTGCCATAGATGTGGGAGAAACGTCAGGAGAGAATGCTTCTGGAACATGGCCACACAGCCCGGAAAAGTCACAACAACCCAGTGATTCCAGCCATGAAAACTTTGACAACTCAAGAAAAAACCGAAAGGAAAAAGTGACAAGTGGCACGGAGTTCAATTACTTCATGACATCTTTCCGTGTGGAATGGACCCAAAAAAAGTATTTCTCAGAGAAAGAGGGAGAGACAAGGGACGCCAAGTCGTATGACCATTACCAATGCCTTCCTTGGGCAAAGGCCAAAAAACCTGGACATCGCCTCCGCATATACACACATAGGCCGACGCTGGCCCATTCATCAATTGGCCAAAGAAACCGAGGAAAGAAAGACAATGTGTTGTCGAAGGCTTTTCATGGCCGGAATCACTAGGTTGCTGTCAGTTTTCCGGGCTGTCTGGCCATGTTCCAGAAGCACTCTCTCCTGACGTTTCACCCACATCTATGGCAGGCATCCCCAGACGTTATGGGTAGGAGGAAGAATTCTTGTCTTTTTGAGGCAAGTGTGAATGCTGCAACTGATCACCTTGATTAGCAATGAATGGCTTTGCAGCTTCAAAGCCTGGCTGGTTACTGCTTAGGGGAATCCTTTGTTAGGAGGTGTTAGCTGGCTCATTAAATGCTAATCAAGATGACAAATTGCAACAGGGGAATTCCAGGCAAGAAACAATCAGGGCCAGCTAACACCTCCCAACAAAGGATTCCCCACAAAATCACAAGTTGAACACTTCCCAAGTGTCTAGGACTGTGTGATGTATTTACAAATGATGTGTGCAGATCCAAGTCAGGTGGCTTTTTGCAGTTGACAGATTGTGATATTATTATTATTATTATTATTATTATTATTATTATTATGGGACATGACTGTACAGCCCGGAAAACTCACAGCAACCCAGTGATTCTGGCCAGGAATGCCTTCAACAACAGACCTCACAGCCTCTGAGGATGCCTGCCATAGATGTAGGTGAAACATCAGGAGAGAATGCTTCTGGGACATGGCTGTACAGCCCGGAAAACTCACAGCAACCCAGTGATTCCGGCCATGAAAGCCTTCAACAACAAACCAAGGAGAGACCATTTTTGGTAAGCAAAGGAAGAGCTAAACCTGTCTATTTGACATACCTGTCCAATGCAGTCTGAGGTGGCCGCATGTTCATGGTTTGTAGTCAAATCCAGAAGGCCGGGGTTGGCCAGCGGTGGATCCTTTGGCTGCTTGCACGCCTTTTTCCTTTGCGCAGATGCGGATTTTTATTACCAATCCTAACCACAAAGGAGGAAAACTAGTCTCTTGCAGTCAAGACGGCGGAGCCTTCGAGTCCATCCTTATATCCATGTCTTGGGAAAGTGGTTGCCCCCAAAAATTAAAAAAATACAAATAACTTTGCAAACCTTGTCCAAGGTTATAAATTCTGGGCCTTGGGGAAGTGGTTGCCCCAAAAATAAAAATACAAACAACTCTGCAAACTTTGTCCAAGATTATAAATACTACCTGGTGGAATAAAGACGGGTTCCCATCCAAAACATTAAAGTCATAGGGATCAAAACATCCTTATAATCCAGTTTTCCCAGCTGTCCTTCCTGTTGGAAGAGGGAAGGGAGGACAATGAAAAAGATCTGTATTCCTGGGTCTCTCTCTCTGTGTTTGTGTGTCTTTTTAGGTTGCCAAAAAGATGCCCAATTTCACTCTCAAGCAGCCTCCCTTGTCCTTCCTTTGGGCTAATAAATAAAAAGCCATGCAACAAATCACTCCCAAGGAAAGAAAAGCAAAATACACATCATCATCATCATCATCATAGTAATAATATTAATATTAATAAGGTAATTGCAAACTTCTTTTCCTGCCAAGGCAGGTACAGGATAGAGGACTAAGGGGAATCAATGAAGGGCTGAGCAGAGGACAGTGACACCCCCTCCTCCTCCTCTTCTTCTTCTTCCAAAGCCCCAAGATGTCCTCCAAAGCGGTGGGTCCTTCCCCTTCTTCTTCTCCTCCTCCTCCTCTTGCTCCAGCTTGGCTTCGGGGTCCGAGGAAGAAGAAGGTCCTCCTTCTTCACCTTCCTCCTCCTCCTTTTCCCCTTCCCCAGTGAGGGAAATCCAAGGAGAGGCCTAGCGGGAGCGGCGAAGCCCCGGCCTCGCGTAGGTAAGCTCCCCGACCTCCCTCGGCTCCGGGAGGGGAAGCAGCACCGGTCTGGGAAAGGAGAGCCGAGCCCGCAAGTGGCTTGGCTCCTAGGCCCGCCTGCCTGCCTGTTTTGCCTGCCCTTCGGTCCTTCTCCTCTCCTTCCTCCTCTTCCTCCTCCTGCTTCCCAGATAATCCCTCCCACAGCCGCCCTCCTCCTCCTCCTCTTTTCCTCCTCCTCCTCCTCCTCCCGCCCTCAGGAAGAGCTTCCCTGGCTCTGCAGCAGGTGGGAGGGAAGGAAGGGAGGAAGGAAGGAAGGAAGAGGGAGGCATCCCCACCATCATCCTCCATGCCCAGTGTGGAACACATCTCACCACGCTAAAACAGTGGATGTGGCTCTGAATGAGACATGTCGCATTATCACAGGGTGTCTGCCCCCTACACCACTGGAGAAATTACACTGCTTAGCCGGTATTGCACCACCTGACATCCGCCCGAAGTAGCAGCCAATAGTGAAAGGACCAAGGCAGAGACATCTCCAGCTCATCCCCTGTTTGGGTATCAGCCAGCACGTCAACGACTTAAATCAAGAAATAGTTTTCTAAGACCTACAGAGACACTCGCTGGAACACCTCAGCAAGCGAGAGTCCAAAAGTGGCAGGCTCAAACCCAGAACCTCAATCAATGGCTGATACCAAATGAGAGACTCCCCCCTGGGCACACAGAAGACTGGGCGACTTGGAAGGCTGAACAGACTGCGCTCTGGCACCACGAGATGCAGAGCCAACTTAAGAAATGGGGCTACAGGGTGGAATCCTCGGCATGCGAATGTGGAGAGGAGCAAACCACTGACCACCTGCTGCAATGCAGCCTGAGTCCTGCCACATGCACAATGGAGGACCTTCTTGCGGCAACACCAGAGGCACTCCAAGTGGCCAGATACTGGTCAAAAGGACATTTAACCAAATACCAAATTTGCAAAATCTGTGTGTTTTTTTTTCCTTTTCCTTTTTAATCTGTGTGCTTGTTTTGCTCTGTTAGAATTGTAATACAATGGTTGCTGATGACACGATTAAAAAAAATCCTCATCATCAAACCCCTTGAATGCATTACTTACCATCCTCACCACCACCATCATCCTCATCATCAAGCCCCTTCATACCATCATCATCACCATTATTATCATCATCAAACCCCTTCATACCACCATCATCATTATCATCATCATCATCAAGCCCCTTGAATGATTCCTTCATGGCCATCTTCACCACCATCATCCTCATCATCAAACCCCTTGAGTGCATTAGCTACCATCCTCACCACCACCATCATCCTCATGATCAAACCTCTTTGTACCATCATCATCATTATTATCATCATCAAACCCTTTCATACCATCATCATCATTATCATCATCATCATCAAGCCCCTTGAATGAGAATTCCATGGCCATCTTTACCACCATCATCCTCATCATCAAACCCCTTGAATGATTCCTTCATGGTCATCTTCACCACCATCACCCTCCTCATCAAACCTCTTCGTACCATCATTATCATTATTATCATCATCATCAAATCCCTTCGTACCATCATCATTATTATCATCATCAAGCCCCTTGAATTATTCCTACATGGCCATCTTCACCACCATCCTCCTCCTCATCAAACCTCTTCGTACCATCATCATCACTATCATCATCATCAAGCCCCTTGAATGAGAACTTAATGGCCATCTTCACCACTCTCAGCCTCATCATCAAACCCCTTGAATGTATTAGCTACCATCCTCACCACCACCATCATTCTCATCATCAAACCCCTTGAATGATTCCTTCATGGCCATCTTCACCACCATCATCCCCATCATCAAACCTCTTCGTACCATCATCATCATTATCATCATCATCAAGCCCCTTGAATGATTCCTTCATGGCCATCTTCACCACCATCATCCTCATCATCAAACCCCTTGAATGTATTAGCTACCATCCTCACCATCACCATCATCCTCATCATCAAGCCCCTTGAATGATTCCTTCATGGCCATCTTCACCACCATCAGCCTCATCATCAAACCCCTTGAATGTATTAGCTACCATCCTCACCACCACCATCATTCTCATCATCCAACCCCTTGAATGATTCCTTCATGGCCATCTTCACCACCATCATCCTCATCATCAAACCTCTTCATACCATCATCATCATTATTATCATCATCAAACCCCTTCGTACCATCACCATCATCATCATTATCATCATCATCAAGCCCCTTGAATGAGAACTTCATGGCCATCTTCACCACCATCATCCTTATCATCAAATCCCTTGGTGCCATCTTCATCATCATCATTATCATCATCATCAACGCCCTTGAATGAGACCTTCATGGCCATCTTCACCACCATCATCCTAATCATCAAACCTCTTTGTACCATCATCATCATTATCATCATCATCAAACCCCTTCGTACCATCATCATCATTATCATCATCATCAAGGCCCTTGAATGAGAACTTCATGGCCATCTTCACCACCATCATCCTTATCATCAAATGCCTTGGTGCCATCTTCATCATCATCATTATCATCAAGGCCCTTGAATGAGAACTTCATGGCCATCTTGATGGCCATCTTCACCACCATCATCCTCATCATCAAGCCCCTTGGTGCCATCCTCACCATCATCATCAAGCCCCATGAATGTATTAGATGCCATCCTCATCCTCATCATCAAGCCCCTTGAATGAGACCTTCATGGCCATCTTCGCCACCATCATCCTCATCATCAAGTTCCTTGAATGAGACTTTCATGTCCATCTTCACCACCACCATCATCAAATGCCTTGCTGCCATCATCATAGTTATCATCATCAGCATCAACGCCCTTGAATGAGACTTACATGGCCATCTTCACCACCATCATCCTCATCATCAAACCCCTTGCTGCCATCATCATCAAGGCCCTTGAATGAGACCTTCATGGCCATTTTCACCACCATCATCCTCATCATCAAACCCCTTGCTGCCATCCTCACCATTACCATCATCATAATCATCAAGGCCCTTGAATGAGAAATTTATGGCCATCTTCACTGCCATCATCCTCATCATCAAACCCTTTGATGCCATACCCACCACCACCGTCATCATCATCATCATCATCATCATCATCATCATCATCATCAAGCCCCTTGAATGAGAACTTCATCCTCATCATCAAACCCCTTGGTGCCATCCCTGCCACCACCACCACCACCATCATCAAGCCCCTTTGAATGAGAACTTCATGGCCATCTTCACCACCATCATCCTCATCATCAAACCCCTTGGTGCCATCCCCACCACCACCACCATCATCAAGCCCCTTGAATGAGAACTTCATGGCCATCTTCACTGCCATCATCCTTTTATCATCAAACCCCTTGGTGCCATCCCCATCACCACCATTATCATCATTATCATCATCATCATCATCATCATCATCATCATCATCAAGCCCCTTGAATGAGAACTTCATCCTCATCATCAAACCCCTTGGTGCCATCCTCACCACCACCACCACCATCATCATCAAGCCCCTTTGAATGAGAACTTCATGGCCATCTTCACCACCATCATCCTCATCATCAAACCCCTTGGTGCCATCCCCACCACCACCACCACCACCATCATCAAGCCCCTTGAATGAGAACTTCATGGCCATCTTCACTGCCATCATCCTCATCATCAAACCCCTTGGTGCCATCCCCACCACCACCATTAGCGTCATCATAATCAATCCCCTTGAATGAGAACTTCATGGCCGTCTTCACTGCCATCATCCTCATCATCAAACCCTTTGGTGCCATCCCCACCACCACCATTATCATTATCATCATCATCATCAAGCCCCTTGAATGAGAACTTCATCCTCATCATCAAACCTCTTGGTACCATCCTCGCCGCCACCACCACCACCACCATTATCATCAAGCCCCTTTGAATGAGAACTTTGTGGCCATCTTGACCATCATCAAACCCCTTGCTGCCATCCCCATCATCATCATCATCATCAAGGCTCTTGAATGAGAACTTCATGGCCATCTTCACCACCATCATCCTCATCCACTCTAACAAAATTTTCAAAATTTCATTATTATTTTGTTAATGGTAATTGTTTATGACAGAACCAATTAGGAACTGCCATTTATAAAGAAATTTTGAAAGTTTTGTTAAGAGTTCTGAAATTTTCAACATCAGAACTTTAGAAACACTTTAGAAGCAAAGTACCAGCACCCCCTAGTTTTCTAAGTACTTTAGAACCATTTAGAACCATGGATCACACTCTACCACGTAGAATGCATTGCAGTAGTCCATTCTGGATGTAACTAAGGTGTGGCTCACCATAGTCAAAGTCAGTTTTTTCGAGGTATGGTTGCATCTGGTCATAAGTTTTAATTGTACGAAGGCCCTCCCTACCACTGACCACGCCTGAGCATCAAGTGTCAACAATGAGTCCAGGAGGACCCCCAGACTGTGGACCTGTGTCCTCAAGGGGAGTGTAACCTCATTAAACACAGGTTGCTACCCTATACCCCAATTGGCCTCGCAACTGACCTGGAGGACCTCTGTCTTATTTGGATTGTCAGCTTCTTGGCCCTCATCCAGTCTGTCACAGCTGCCAGGCACCAATCCAGGATCTGGGGAGCTTCCTTGGAAGGGAGTGGAAAAGAATAGCAGAGTTGTCTGTCATCTGCATAGAGATGGAAGTCTCTGGGAGTCCAGGAGGGAGGTTAGTTAGACATCAACAACCCCGTTCAGGTCTTTGAGGCCTCATCTACACTGGCATATAAAATGAGATTTTCCGCTGTGAACTAGATCAGAGGTTCTCATCCTACTTAATGCTGCGACCCCTTAATAGAGTTCCTCATGTCATGATAACCCCCAACTATAACATTATTTTTCTTGCTACTTCATAACTATAATTTTGCTACTGTTATGAATGGTAATGCAAATATCTGATATACAGGATATATCTTCATTCACTGGATTAAATTTGGCACAAATATCCAATACGCCCAAATTTGAATACTGGTGGAGTTGGGGCGGGGATTGATTTTGTCATTTGGGAATTGTAGTTGCTGGGATTTATAGCTCACCTACAATCAGAGCATTCTGAACTCCACCAACAATGGAATTGAACTAAACTTGGCACACAGGACTTCCATGAC